CTAACTATTCCATGATTCTATGATTCTATGTAACTATGTTGCTTTTTGTCAGCTTGATTGTAACACTAGAATTTTAAGATGGAAAAGTGCTGTGATTCTCTTTTGAATATCTCTGATTCTCTTTACAGAGTAACATTGTTACTCGTACAGAGCAGATAGACAGATAGGTACACTACAGCTCTTAAAGGTGGTGTGGCTAACATGAAACTGAAATTTCCTATTTCATGTAAATTTAATATTACTTTCTGTAAAAGAATAGGCTCTTGTTACTACAAAAAGAAAGCTAAAATATTGACTTCTAACATGTATCTTTTTCCCCACAATTAAAGATATATATGTATTTCATGTCTTAAAGAACCTAGAGCTTGAAAAGGGTATGATAAGTACATTATTGCTCCTCTGGTAACTGCAAGAAATTCCAGTCCTCAACAGGAGATACCAATACACTAGGTTCAGAAATTAAGATGATTTTAGGACACTCAAATGACTTAAAGATCTAAAAATAACTCATCGAAATAATGTTGATTTCTTTTAACAGACACACAGTTCGTTCTACTAAAATGACCAAGTTTAGATGCTGACATATGACAAATGGTAGGGATGGAAGAGTTGAGCAAAGAGATGTTAACCAAGGCATTAACAGGTTCTGAACCAATGACCAACAAAAGCTTGAGTAAACAAACACATGATTCGTGGTTAGGGAGCATTCTAGACATATCCTTAAGGTGTGGGACTAAGAAGTTTTTACATAAATGCCACCTAAATCTTTCTTGTAATTAATTAAGACAAAGTCAGCACAGATAATTGTGAACCTAATTTTTAAGCTAAACAAACTGCTGTTTTCCCAACAGACTGAAACCTCTATTCTGGTTGCAGTTTAACTGCCCAATTCAGAAAATAATTAAACTTATTAGCTGAACTTTTCTATTTCCAGATTAACTGATGTGACAGTGAAAAGGAAGTCATCTTTATTTGTGAAGTATAAACCAGGTATATTAAGGATCCTCTCCTGTTGCTGTATTTATATGGGCTTAGAAGATTGAGGGGAAAATTACTGCAACTGCAAGTAACTTGTATCTTTCTTTTCTTTTATTATCATATTGGTATTCTATTACAAGAACACCTACTTTCAGAAGGCTAATGCTGTGATAGTATTGATATTCTAATATTGAAGGATCTAGGTATCTCTATGGGTATCCGTGGCATTTTCTTGTAACTATTTTATTTTAGACTTAAAAATAAAGCTTTGAATTCCATGCCTACTGTAATCTTATCAGGACAGCTCTGTCAGGTTAACAATTGGTGTATTCTGACTTTCTTGGATGTATATTGAATCAAGCGAGATAAATCTGTCGCAGATTTTCATAACACTGTAAGATCATCAAGAACACCACAAAACATTAAACTAACAAATGTGAAAACTGGGATATGGTTCCTATGCTATACACTGTTCAGTTTTTTACTACATGCGCTTTACATGTCGACAACGGGCTTGTCTGCCTTTCTTTCTGGCTCTTCAACACCTTCAGGCCATACTGCTGGCACTGCAGTTGCTGCATGATGATGTTTGAAGCCAAGCCAATTGTAAGGAAATGTGTTACTGTGTTCCGTAGTAGTGAGCTGATGAAGGTCACGTCTTTAAAAGCAGCAACATGATAGTCTCCAAAAGGAGAGAGTAGAAACCCTGGCCAAAGAACTGTCTCTCTTGGTCCTTCAGTACTTATGTTCTTGTATCTGCCTTTTTGCAGGAGAAGGATTTTTGTTGGGGCTTCCTTTTATCCATATCTTCTTGTATTTCCAAAGGAAAGGCTTTTAGATTTTCATTCACGCAAGGGAGGCAGAACCTTTTGGAGTAGAACAGACTACATTCCTGCAAAGAAAGTAATATTATTAGCAAGATACACAAAATGGAACTGCTTCAGTTTCAGTCTCATTAAACCACATTTATATTCAGAATTCATCTAAATTAAATTCTTCTAGGTTGAAATACTCCAGCAGTTTTGCTTCTTCCTATTTAATAACTAACATCTGGTGAGAGCCAACTGACTGAAAAAAAATTTTGGGTCTGTAACACTGCTAACCAAACCACCTGTGAATGAAACATGTCAGATCACAGTGTTATTCCATTTCAAGGGCAGGGAAAATACCTTATTTGTGCACAACAGCTTTTATACTTCGCCATCAAGAGGTCAGAGAAGAGACATCAGCTCAAGCTTTAGCACCACGTATGCTTTTAGATTCTAATCAGTGAGTACATTTATTCAAGGAAAAGGTGAGTAATGGATGAAATCTCAGTTTAATTGTCTCAGCCAATTTGCAGTACAGAGTTTGGACAACTGGGAGAGAAGCTTATTAATGTATTATTCCTCTGCCCTGCAGCAAGACTGAAGTCCGCGGTTCTCCTGGCGTGCTGATCACTAAATTCCAAATAGGATTTAATGGGTAAGCTGGACCTGGTATTGCTGATGGATTATTCTTGGGCATTTAAGCATGAATAAAGATATGAATTTAGATGGCTCAGGACACCTTTTGAGGAGTAATGGATCCTATTGTGTTCTTCCTAAATAGCAAAGTTTTCTCTTGCCACGGTCCTTTGTGGCTGGCCTTCCTCTGGGGGCTTGGCTTGGCTGTTTCTGTGCTTCTGTTCTTGCTTTCATTGCCCTTGTCACTATTAAGACGTTAGCAGTAGATGCAGCAGACGATTTTATCAAAATCTCTATCAGCCTGCTTCTGTGCAACTTCCAAACCCAAGGAACAACTCCTCTTCACCTATTGTCCTTTTCAGCAATGACTGCCAGGCGCCTTCGTATTCAGAGCTAGTGTGAGACCCTGGTCTCTGAAAAGCCCTGAAACTGGATTTCAGTTGCACAACCTCATAAGCCTATTGTTTTTTGTCTCTTGCTATCCCTAATACTTTAAGCTGCCAATTAAAATGGAAGATTAGAGTTTAAATTGGCCCTGCTATTCTTGTTTGTATTGCAAAACGGCACACAGCTCCCCCTGCCTCCAGGTTAAGTTCATGGCTCCACAGTGATGGATGCTGTGCCACCAGCCAATGGCAAAGCAGGGGAGAGGCTTTTCTCCTGTTCTACAGATGGGGAACTCCGATGTTAAGGTGCAGCTCCTCACAGATATACAGGTGCTCAATTTGCATTCTTTTACCTGAAGTAAGCTGCCAGCTTTGGCCAGTGAGAGTTAGACAAATGATGACTATGAACCACTGCATACCTGAGCACTGGGTCCATCACTGTAGAGTCATAAACTTAACCTGGAGGCAGGCTGTGGGATCAGAGAGTGGTGAGGCACTGGAACAGGTTGCCCAAAGAAGTGGTAAATGCTCCAACCCTGGCAGTGTCCAAGGCCAGGTTGGACAGAACCTTGGGTGACATGGTCTAGGGTGAGGTGTCCCTGCCCATGGCAGGGGGTTGGAACTAGATGAGCTCTAAGGTCCCTTCCAACCCAAACCATTCTATGATTCTGTGATTATTCAGCCTAGCTGTTGTTTTAAAGCCCTACAAATTACACTAACTATGTATAGACAAACCCTTCTTTGACCATTATCCTGATAGGCTTCAGTGCTTAACTGGAAAATTCTTTAATAGGTTTCACCTCTTCCATGACCAAGGCAGGAGGAGGCCATTTCAATTTCAAACAATCCGGTTTAGGCAAAACTGTGCTGACAAAGCATACTGCCAGAGTTTATTTCTGTTCTAACATGGATCATGTCTGGAAGTAATGTATACAGGGATTGTATCTTTATCACACTTGTAAAGGAAGCTGCATGTAAAGGAAAGGTTATGCCTAACTTTGTCCAGGATTGACCCCGCATGACTGGATGTTGAATGGAAAGCAGCTGTAGTGTTACATTTATCGTTTAATACCTATAATCATGTCCAAGGCCAGTATCTAGTCACTGTCTGCTGAGGTGAGCAATAAGGGATGAAACTTGCTCCCTGTCCTATTTTCTTCTCCAAAAGACAACTCTTTTCTTTTCCTATGTTTAATGAGTGTTGCAATAAAAAAGAAATAACTGTTTTAAATTACTAATATGGTCAGATTGTATCAATTCCTCTTCCCTTTTCTGAAAGGGAAACAGGAAGAAGGGCACACGAACTTCCTAAGGACTTTTAAAAGCTTTTTTGTTATCTTCATTTCTGCGGGGTTTTGACATGTTTTAAGACATTACAGATAGTCATTAGAATTATTTTCAGTTTTACCACAAATAACAGCACTTACCAATATACTATGGTAAAGACTGGGTCAGTAGGGTGATGTACTCTGCAAGCTGACTGGAGTGAATTAACTGAGTGACGCTTAAGAGAATATTTGAAGAAGTGAGTTTATGAGCATTATACAGAACAGTTGTTAAGTCAAGTCCTGACTTTCACTGGCAGAGCAGCTGTAAGGAAAGCCACTTCAGCTAACATAGGTTGTCTCATGAAAAGCCTAATATCTGATCTGTATCTAAGCCTCCTTAGATACAAAAGCTACAGGTTAGTCTAGTACTAATTTTGAATCAACATAAAAATGAAAGCAACCTGCCACAGAAAACTTTCTATGACATTGGTCCAGCTTCTTTGCCAAAGAAAGAGGCCCAAGAAAGCATGATTTTCTTCAGTTTCAATTGTTATATTACAACATTACAGAAAGATTCAGCACAGGACTGAGTTGATCTACTTGGGTCAAGCATAAGCAGGAACCAAAACCAATCCACAGAGATATTATCCTAATTTTGTCTCTCTCTACTGTCTTGGAAAAGTCTTTGCTTCTCTGGGCTTTTAATTTCCCTTACATGAAAGAGGAATAAGACGTGTTTACCTGCTTTGTGGTGTGGGTGTTTAAAGCACTAATATTCATTTCTGCAGATCTCTTTCAATGTTACCTAAGCAGTATTGCTAAATACATTTTGAAACCATAGTCATAGATGTGTTTCACTATCTGGCCTGGCCAGTTTGGTAAGAATTCTCAATTATTTGCAATCAAGGTTTTGCTTTGAGTGATACCATCAGGGGAATCTTGAGGACTCAGATAACAAGAAGTAAATGATTGATATATTTCCACAATAGGCGAAATAGGCAGGAATGTCAAAAAGATTAGAAGGGGCTTCTATTAGCTCATTGCTAATATCCTCTTTATATTGTTATGCCCTAGATTAACAGAAATCATTAATAAACCTTTTAAAAAGAAAAAGCCCCACCTTTATTCAGAAATGCACAGTGTGGAAAGATACTGAGAGGCTAAAATGCTGTGTTTTGGACACATTTAACTGCCAGACTTGGAAATACCAGTTGAATCCTTCCTAAATTCAAGAAAATTAGTTTGGGAATGAAGATAGCTAAATGTGCTCAAGTTTGCCCAAAACGTGTGTGAACTGCTAATCCTCTTCTGTAAAAAGGAGGGCTAAACCTGATGTGTCAGGGCAGGAATTGAGCTCATAAGCCTGAACTATCTGACTAGTTGCACTTGCCTCTTCATCTGGCTCTGTAGGGGAGTGAGTCAACTTCCAGTCAAGACAGGGACATTGTCACTAGGAGGATCTTGCTCACATGTGAGCTCTGCCTCCACGCAACTGTCTTTAGCTACTTGGCTCTGGAAATTTGAGCCCAGCTACCAAAGACGTAACCAGAGAGCACTGGCACTTCATCTGACTCTCACGTAGCCCTCAGGTAGTTCCAGAATGGAAAAAGTTAATCTCAGTTGCAATCCTTAGTCTGATGTTCTGGTGATTTTCATTCATTTAAATGACAGAAGAGACTTCAGAAAGAGGAAACAAATTTAATCAGGAGAAAGGTGCTATTCCACACTCCTCTTACGACAGGGGTCCAAATCCATCCTTGGTGCTAATTCCCTGCAAATCAGAATAGCAGCTGAACTTGTCCAAGTGTGCCAATTTCCTTTTGGCTGTGTCTGTCCAACCCCCTAAATTTTGTCAGTGTAATGTGACCCTTTGTTTTGCTCAAAAGAATTCCCTCAAGTCCCCACACAGAAACTGTCTGGCATTGGCATATGAGCTGCCTCAGTTGCCCAGATTACCTCACCTCATGCTCTGAGGAGGCCAGGAGTGTAACTTTGTCCCAGCGGAACTATAACTGGCTACCAAACATGAAAAATAAATAAATAAAGCTACATCTTCACAAAGTCTTTAGCAGGTCTGTTTGTTTTAGAACTCTCACTACTAGCTACCTGCAGTAAGGATCATGTCAGTGGAGCTGGTCCCTAACCACTGCAATTACAGAACAGGCTGAAAAGGTTGAATCTGCAAACTGCAAAAGCTGACACTGAAGAGCAAGGTGTGCTCTTGCTAATAGCTCATGCTAATTAGCTGCACTCTTAGATTTAAGCACGTTACTCTAAGATAGCAAACAACCACTTTGAAACAGAAGGCTGGGATCTGGCTGGCATTAGGGCAATAGTGTTTGGCATAACAGATACATGCCGTTGTCCATGTAAACAAGCAGGTGAAGTCTCCTCATGGGTTGAATCATGCATGAATCCTGACTACTGCAGTCCCGAGTCTCTTTCAACCACAGAACTGGCTTGCTCAGGAAAAGGAGTGGAGCCTAAGTTTTCTCAATTCATTTTACTGCCTCAAAGACACACAGTACAGCTGCCAGACACTGATAACTGTGTAATAACTTGTCTTCATTTTTGCTTTGAACTCTCAGCAAACAAAGGGGCCATTTCTGCACTGAGGAGAAGAAATTAAGACAACTGTAATTTCACACCACCTTTCTGGACTGCACTCAGATTTCATAGTTTTAAGGTTGCCTACCAGCTGCTACTCAAATTCATTCTTCTTCAGAGAGCTGTCATGTGACTTTACACCTCACCTCCCTGCTCATTTTCTACGTTAGCATTTGCAAATAGGATGGCAGCCCCATGCTGTGGACACAAACCTACCAATCCATGGATAGAATCATAGAATGGCTTGGGTTGGAAAGGACCTTAAAGCTCATCTAGTTCCAACCCCCTGTTATGGGCAGGGACACCTCACCCTAGACCATGTCGCCCAAGGCTCTGTCCAACCTGGCCTTGGACACTGACAGGGTTGGGGCATTTACCACTTCTTTGGGCAACCTGTTCCTGTTCCTCACCGTCACTCACTGCGAAGAACTTCTTCCTTACATCTAACCTGAACTTCCCCTGTTTAAGTTTAAACCCACTGCCCCTTGTCCTATCACTACAGTCATATTCCCTTTACAGGAAAACAAAAAAAAGTCTATTGTTGGGTATAGTATGACTACTGAAACTTAAAAGTCTTGAAGCGGTAAGTGCCTTGCATTTCCTTGTGCTAGGAAAGTGGAAAAGAACACTCATTGTGAGGTTGGACTGTGTTCATCTGTAAATAGGACACTTGAATTGCCAATCATTTTCTTTTAATACAAAGAGCTTTATCTGTGGGAATCCACAAGAACATACAATTAGCTTGCCTTACATATAGACTGTTTGTTTTTTGGCTGTTTGGTCTCTCTCTAACAGGTCACCAGGACTGCAACAAAAAGAAGTGATTGAAGAAGCTTGTTTTACTTGTTACTTACTGTACCAACGCACACTGATCTGCTACACAAACTGCAATGAGACCCAAGGATGAGGAATTTGTCCTTGTCAGGGGTGAAAGGATCCTTCATGACATAGCTTTCTTCCAAAAGCCTGTAAGAGAATAATTTCAGGCTTTTAAGGGTAGATTTCACAGTAGGGGAGAGTTGAAAGGCAGAGCAATTGTGGAGACTGAAAAGGTATCAGCCCTTTCTACTTGACTTCTTCGTCCTGGAGTTACACATGAGGCAATGTAGTAGATATGCAGCTCCTTTCCTCTTCAATACCAATATTTGTGGCTGCCTTGAGTCCTATGCTGCACTTTCTATGTGTTGTCTAAAATTAGGGCAATTGGCGATCCTTTTAACATTACCTTACTAGGTTCTTCTCGGTGCTCTACCTTGAAGTATTTTCTTATCTTGCATATTTCTGACAGGCACTCCTTAGCATGGCCAACTTCAATACCTTGACAAGTTAACATTTCAATTGCACAGCTTTTTATTAGAAGTTCTATTCCAAAGCTGTGTGCATGAGAGCATAAAAAGTTTTTATTGCTCTTAGTTATGTCACTGCTGTAAAGCGAAGGTTCCCACCTCTTGAAAGCGGGAGCTACTGGCACAGAGCTTTGCAATGACCTGGAATATGCTTACTTAATGTCACAGATTGCACTGTTTGCTCCAGGGTATTAAGGGAGTGCATTTATTAATAATTTGGCAATTCGCTTGGGAAAGACTAAGGCCTTATTCTTCCTGCGAGCTCCAGGCAAAGCATTAAAGAGGTAAATTGGGTGTCTGTCTGCACAGGGCACCCTGCAAGGCTGGCTCATTCTTTGACTTAAATCAAACATGGATTCTGTAATAATATGGAGTACTATATATATATATATATAAAGGTATTCTTTTAACTCATATTGCCTTCTCCTCATCTATATACATACTCAGGTATGTGTGCATCTGAGTGTATTTTCTTTTTCCTCTCCACTCAAACAAAAAATGGTATAGCTCAAGTCTTCCTTACGAAAGGTCACGTATTTTATCACTGGAGATTAACAAGTCTCTTAATATACAAAGACTGGATTACCTTTGCAAAGTTTCCCTTGCAAGATTCACAGTCTTAATGTAGTGCAGAGACCTGGTCATTGTACAAGCCTTCATGTCTAGCATATATTTTCTGCAGCAATTCCATTTAGGACACATGAGTAGGCCAGAAAGCAAGCCAATAAAGGTAGTGTGTAAAGCTTTTTCTTATATGCATGTATAGAAGTATTATGCTTCAGCATTACTCTCTTGCTTTTTGAATCTCAGTCACCTAAATAAAGCTGAGATGACAACAGTGAGCTTGGATAACTTAAAGTTAAGATTATGTTCAGCTTTGATTCAGATTCTTTAGGAATGGACCTGATCAAAGGTAGGCCACTGCTCTGCTGAGTAGAAGAGAGAAAACCAGTAGCACTGTGGGATTTGGAACGATAAAAACAGAGCTGCCCTAGGAAAACAGCCGAAGCAGGTGGTAATCAACAGCTATGTCCATTTTATAAGAAATTAGCAGTCTCAGTAGGGTGAAACACTGAGTACATGACTGACTTCCAGTGAGTTCCTGGCCATGTTTGCATGATGGGTTCGTTGATCAGGATGACAACAGAGCAACTGGTATACTTATAGCCAACTGCTTTGTTTCATGTGCAGTTTAATGCCTGCAGACAATGTTGTAATGGCATAATTTCTGGTCAAACTATCCCTACTTAGCAGAGATGGAAAAAGCTTTGGTCTCCTAAAATGTAAATTTGCACTACATTTCTACACACTTAAATATCACACAATCTGCTAAAGAATTGTTTAATTCATGCAAAAAAGGATGGCTGTTCAGAACTCCATGTCAAACAGCTCTTAAAAAGTGTTTTTACCATATGTATTTAATTGATGCTGTGTTTACATGTTTCCCAGCTAACACAGCTGAAAGGCAAGGGCTATTCCCAGAACTGCTAGGCTGACAATCAACAGCATTCTTCTTAGAAAATAATGATATAGTTGTATTCTAGGGTGGTCAGTGGGGTTAGGAAGTAAGTTAAATGAAAATCTTCGCATGGTGTTGAAACAAGATGGGAAAGTTGATTTTTGTCTTTACTATCAATGCTGACAATGTTTAACATTGGAAATAGAAGGTCACTTTAAGTACCAAGCCTCATATTCAGGGGCAATATGGTATGTTATTGCATTCATGCACTGTATGCCATTCCATGGAACAAGGCTTCTAATGCTCATAGCATAAATGAAATCTGTAATATGAAAGACTGTACTTACACAATAGAGCGCGTGTTTGGTGGCTTCTGCCCATAGTACGTGTATGGAGCTGTTAAGCTACATAGCTGACAAGTGAACTCTCCTGTAGGCTGAACTTCTTTGGGAGCATCCATCTTTAAGCTACCTACAAGCAACACAAACACTTTTTAGCTCCAAAATGCAATACTTGGAACATGCCTGCCTGCAAGAAGATTAAGCTCATGTGGGACATCTGGATAAGCAAATTAAAACCCAATGGAAAACTGACTATTGCAAACCTTGATTAGTAAATCTTTTCTCCTAAATCAAGTTGGTTTCCCATGTCCCAGTTACACTTACCTAACCCCTTAGATAGCTTTAGGCCTGACTATAAAGTTCACCTGTTAATTTGGAACTTGATCCATAAAAGAATTTAGGTAACAAAGCAGATGGCTGTGATCCGGAAAACCCTTTGCTCATCCAAGGCCTACGTTCCCTAAGCACTACCTGGGCAATGACTCCCTATGTGCTGTGCAGAATCCCAATCCAGATCTGCAATGCCTGTCTCTTCCTCCCTGGAAATGGAGCCATGAAAGGGTTTGGGACCCTACTCAGGTGGCAGGCACCAGAAAGGTAGGTGCTGCAATGATTTACTACATCTTTTTCTTTGCTTCTGGTTCACCTTCAAATAGAGTTTTGGAAGCTTAACCCTGGCTCCCTGTTCTTATCTGGCTTCCTATGGAAATGAGGCTGATGTAATCACCCTATGCCTAGATAAGAGTGCTGGCCCATACAAGCCACACAGGACAGAGGAGGAGGTACCTCTACTAAAGTTTAGGTTCTATAACTTTTATGAAAATAGGCAGAAGAGGGATACTCTGCTTTACCCTCCTGGAGGATACCTGTGTATTTCTATGAATCAGAGAATCTGCACATAGGAAAGCTACTGTATCTATCTGAAAGACTTCAGACACTGACTACAAAGGTATAGCTATCTGTCAACAAGATATAAAAACGAGGAAGCCATGCTTCATCAGCTTTGATGCTTACAACATGACTTGCTTAGCATCTTGGCCATTGGTTTACACTTAGGAGCTCACCCTTCACTAGTACCACTTTAATTCGGTGTCAAACCCTGAGTTCTTCAGAGTGTGGTGTGGCAAGTATGCTTTTAGGACTGATTCTGGTACGTATGCACGATCAGATCAAACACAGCTAACCAAGTATTTGTCCCCAGATTTGCACTGATGACACTTTTCATGGTGTGCAGTTTTCTGTTGCAAATCTGTCAGCTTTTTTAAGTGAAGCAAAGGTGACATCAAGCTGTTAGGAAGGTGAGCACTAGGAACTTGGATTTGAGCAATATCTCAGCAGTTAGGTTGTGTGTGCTCACAGCTGAGCAGATACAGGGCCTGCCAAAGGACTGCAGCTCACTCCCACTTATCTAGCTTTGCAGCCATACCCTCCCCCTACAGAGCTGATTCAGTTCACCATGCAAACACTTGGTTTGCATCATGGAGCAGTCTTAAAGCACACAAACTGGACAGTTTCAGATGAAACTAAACTGAAAAATGTGCTGCAGAAGCACACCTAATACACTTCAACCTGAAGGTGTAACTAATGGCCATACACTTATGCCTAGTCTACACACTAGGACCAGAGGTAATCTGAAACATCCCGAAACATAGAGTGAGCAGCTGGTATCCAGCATCAAACACCTTGGTTTATGGTTTCATTCTTACTGCATCTCACTAGTTACTAATATAGTAACAAATAAAAGAACTACCTCCACTGTCTTTTTTCTCTCTTATTTTAGGGAACTAAATTGGCTTGCAGAGGAATCCAATAACTGTTAACAGCAGTTCAAGGTAAGAGGCAAAAATACACAGCCAGGAGAAAGGGAGGTCTGAGATGAGGGACCTGTATTTCCCTCTTTCAATGACAGTAAGCTGCTATTTCTGCTCACCCTATGTGGTGAAACTGAATCCTTAGGGACATATGCTGCTAAGGTGAATTAGGGTCAAGGTGAAGCAGAGTTGTGACTACTTGTTCCAGAAGAACAGGGAGCCCCAAGATACTCAGAGGTTACAGAGGCTTCATAACAGACATCCAGTTCAGAAAGCCCTAGCCTTTTAAACTTTGGGAATAATCTCCCTTACCCCATCATTCTTTCACCATCATCTTTTCTACTTCCATTCCTGGCATTTCAATGGTACAGGGAGTTCTTCAAATGTAACACAAATGGGGCTGGATACTAGTTTAATTAATAAATCTGACTTAAGAATACCTTTGGCAACTACGTTTTTTCAAAAGTGATGCAACCCTTGGATATCATCTATTTTCTCTACCTTACAGGGATGCTTGAGAGAATCTAATTAACTAAAGTGATTTCAGATTTTTCAGTTAGATATAAGTCACGAACGTGCTACCTACTTCTCCCTGTATATTAAAACTGGGATTCTTCAAACTATTCACAAACTCAACTAAGAATATGCTTTTTGAACCCTGCATCTGCATTTTAGGATTACCAAGTAAGTCCCCCAAACGTACCTGAATTTTTAAACTACCTTTTCTGTAGATAGTCAGTAGCATAACCAAGATACCAACCTGTCTGAATGAGATTCAGTCCAGTACATTGTATGTAATATTTTGTAATCAATCTTTTTTTAAAAGGGGAAATAATTAACCCCACAGAGATAGAGTATGGAAAGTCATTTGAATCAAATAAGAGAAGAATATCATGGTGATCTTTTCGTCAAAATAATGCAAAAGACTAAGAATAACAACAACAAAAAAAAGAGTATTTATGGCAGTGAGGGTCATAGACTTTGGAATGAATGTGTGCTGATTCCAAGTCAAAATAACAGCCATGGGTTCAGAGCTGAAGTACGTTTGATGTAGAAACACCTGCTCTCTTATAGTCCATTGGCATGTAGAACAGAATCTGTTCAGTGACTACCACTGGGAAGGAATGATATCTATGTACAAACAGTTTTTTGGCTATGCCAGTTAAAAAGCATATGATCCTGCCTGCAAGGCACAGATGAACTTAGGATGCTTTCCATTTTACTCCCAGCTTACAAGTCACTGGTATAAGCTGTATCACTTGGTATAAAATTGGTATCAGTTTTATTTCCTTGGGAACATCACTTGTACTGAGAGCTTGTCTACACAGCAGCACTTGGGAATGTTAAAGTCACCAACTCAAGGTGTAAAGTGAATGTATAGATTTCAGAGTGAATGCTCCAGTTCAGAAGTAAAGGTTGCTATATAAGAAAGTAAAGCCGTTTCCCTTCTGAAGAAAGAGATTTAATGGCAAATGTAACAAGCTTATGTTACATTTATGCATGTGCTTCACACCCTTAGTCTAAACAACCAAGCAAACAAGTCCTAAGATGCACTCTCTCACAAGGCTTCCAAAAACCTTGTATGCAATTAAAAGAACTGTATGTCAGATAGCAAAGGCACAGAAGCAATTGTGGGATAAAACCACAGTTGAGACAGACATTGGTTTATCACAAAGTAAGTTTGTTGGTTTGGCTCCATACACCATTTCAGTAAGATGCCTGATACAACAACTATGACAGGGTGTCTGCCTCCCCTCCAAGCAGACACAAGTAAGAACTCATTTCTCTCTAGCATACCAACAACCATATGAAGGATCCCTTGAGCAGATAAAAGTCTAGGGCACTAATCCCTACATAATAATGACAGGCAGATTTGTGACCTCAAGTGACTCAAATCATCACCTGTGCTACCACTGGCTTTTTGTCTTTTCCTTGAAAATTTCTGAACCAGCAACATGCCCCAGTAACATGTCAAATATCTGGCTAGCTGGTACTGAAGAAGTCTTTCTGAAGAGCTTGTTTAGAACTAAACTCTGCCCAAGCGTTTTCCATTTTGGCTGGAAGCTGCAAGGTACTTAAACACATATTTACTTTAAGCACATGCATAGCTCTTCTGAAAAGAACATGGCTACCCACACATGCTTGATTATGAAGCAAACACTGAACTAGCACGCTCAGCAGAAACTTGCCAAGTCAAGCCCAGAATGCTGTAGTACGTGTGTGAGGTTGGCCCATGTGTCATGGCTAAAGGTAAAGCACACAGATTTGAATGGCATACTAAGGAAATAACTGCAATGAAAGAAAGACGCAGGTTAGACAGTGGTATAAGAGTGTTTCTCTATGCTATCTGTGACTGATACATGATATGGATGTGGGGAAATGGCTCTGAGTGCTGTTCTCTAGGGACTCCTAAAAACTTCAGGGCAGTTCTGCTTAACATTTTCTGCTAAAAGGCCTGGAAGGCATGCCAGAAATAATAAATCACCATTAAATTGTCAGGGTCAGCGGCAAAGTAGCAGCACAGATAAGTAACCTGATTTTCTTTGCTTCAAACCCCATCAGCACAAGTCTTTACAATGCATAAGTTAAGCCCCTCTTAATATTCCACAGGAGACATGTATTTCTGAGTCACTGATAAACTAGAGAAACTACACAAGAAACAAACTGCCTACAGACGTAGACTTTGATTTGAAAGGGTGTCAGATAAAACCAACACTGACACACCTTTAATCCTCCCCAATTAAACCCTTGTTTCTTTTACCTGCCAAGATTTTCCTGCAGTATCCACTGTTGATGACAGTGACCTACTATAATATTCACAGCTTGATCCTCCATGGGAAGGAGTGTTCTCTAATAGAAGGGTAGGAGCCACTAAGTTCATAGCCTGGTAAATGCTAACTTATTTTGCAGTGTTTGGTGTGACACAAATTTAAATACACTTTGGCACCAGGAATGCATTCGCCTCCTTCAGAAAATTGTCTAATTGCTTAGGTAGTAAATGAAACAGCAGAACCTTCTTACTTACTAGTTAATCCCCAGGCGAACAACTCTCTCCCTCCAGTTCCTTCATGTTATTGGCCTGAAGGCATGTTTAGGTCACCTGCTGGCTGCCTCCCTGCTTTTCCTTTGAGGTGACTTACCTTGGGTTCAGCATAACAAATTAGCCCAGGAATGCAATTTCACACCAAGCAGGGCCATTTTTTACATCTTTTGCCCTTATTACCTCTCACAAAGATCACTTGATTAAATTAAACCTTGACTTGTTGCAGCAACTTCTCCCTTCAGGTTGGGGGGATTGTGCTGGTATT